AACAAAATAAAGAAAGTGTTACCGATTACTTTGATTCCTACTCATAAGGTTCCATATGTCATAAATTAACGTGAAATCGGATAACAGCAATATAGAATCGCGTAAATTCTGGATCTGTAAAAATTCTCACATATGGCTGTCAAGTTTAAAAGAACATCTTATAAATATGTAGCAGTTCTGTAATTAAAAATTTACGTACAAATTAAATGACGAAGTACGCAAACCCTAAACAAAAAAAAAAATAATAAGAAATTTCAATAAAATTAAATGAGTATAAGTTTTGATTCTGTATCATTATTATTATTATCATTAACGTGAATTCTTATAGTACGAGCTTTAACAGAACATCACAGCACACGAATAATACAAAGAAGGCAACAAAGCTCAAACGCGTTCCATTAAAATTAAAGTGCATTATCCAACACGGAAGGACTGTGCTGTAGAGGACGGGTCATGTAGTATTGATTGTGTGGGTAATGCGATAGAAATATATGAAACAAAAAATAATTTTACAAATGCACTGTCCCAACAGGGAAGCTGTAACCATGTTGGTGTTTCAGTTTCACAAAAATTCTTTACGTCTTCTGCAGATATTCTTATTATGTCGGATAAAACCATGTTCATTTTTCGCCCTCGAGAAAAAGATATCCATTAAAAATATATTAATACTCTTATTTTTATTCCAATTCGCGCAAAATATTCGAAAAACACAACCGATTCATATGAACCAACCAACAAGCAGCAAAAGTTAACAGTTAAAAACACTGGACGATATAAGCAACGGGTAAGTTAGTCTTCAAATGTTGTCAGACAAGCGGGCGTTTGTACCCAACAAGGGGAAGGGAGGGGAAGTTGCCTCCAGAACCAAGACGCGAGTTCTAGCACTGAAACAATGACTGAAAGGAAAGTTAAGCCCGAGCTTCCGCAAAGGTGATCTAACAGACAGTTTAGCCATTACAACATGTACTAGGCGACAGGCATACATTTTTTATGTAAGGGAGAAGTGAGTTTACATAAACACTAATTTCAAGTGATGTCTACTGCTGGCATACTCAGCTCTCACAGGTATAACACGTTCTAAGAGTTTATTTTATAACAGTGGTCCCAGAACTTCATTAATACATGCACCTTCTTCTAGAAATGTCGGATACATGGACATTTTCCTAATATCTTATTATATTGTCTGCACAAGAGAAATGATCTTTGCCTACCCACTTCATCTATCTCAAATCTCGGAACTAAAATGGTTATTCACTTTTCACAACGCATGTTCCTTCTGAAACGAAAGGAAGCCAATGTAACTGTGACTGGTTTGTTTATTTGAATGTATTTCACCCCTTCCAAGTTATGAATGAGATATTACACTTAAACACACCTAACATAGCTGCCAAACCAACTATTCTTGGTGAAAATATATTGCCATTTTCTCTGACAGTTCAAGGTATCAAACTTTGTCTCATGAGTGAAAACTGTATCAGAGTTACTATGGGCACATATAAACATTTTTTGCAAATAAAATATAGGACAAGGCGAGTAAAATTAATGATGCGTAAGATGTCCGGCAATATGCTTGCCTCTTTTTTAACCCATCTAGAAGAGTTCATGAGCTGAAGTCTGGTAACCACTTATAAAATCATTTACGAGTATTTATTTTTTTATACACATACCACAGTAACCAGAAAATCTACGTTATAGTTTCAAAACCCATACACTACTGTCACACTTGCTATGCACCGAGTTTATAACACACCTTTATTCAGAATATACTTATATTTCAAGGCGGGACCTCTGAATCCACTCGTTGCTTTAGCTCTGGTTGCTTGTCTGGAACCTCCCAATGAATTGTTATCGCCTTTATAGAATATTTATGGGCACAGAAGTTTTCGTGATTTGTAAACTTTACAAACGCATTCGAAAGTATGGAAAGCCTCAGTTTTTCCTTCAGGAACAAACAGCAGTTTCCCTCACAATGTTGCCAGATAACTTCTTTGAAATACAGCAGGATATAAGCATTTGATATAAACCTATTGTTGTCAATATGCTCACAGAGCATGCAACAAGAGAAAGACGAAACTGTCCTTTATCAATACTATACTTAGATGTATGACTCGAATTTGTGACGACTTTTAAATGCAATCAGGCTTCAAATTGGCCTGAAGCAACAGTACTTCAAACAAAAGTAACTTTAAATGTGTTTCTGACTATTGAAAAATATGCATGGAAACCATGCGCAGTTTCTAGAACTCTTAGATCTATCAGCTTAGGAATAGCTTGTGTTGTGTCGGTGCTGCACAGCTCCCGAGTAACAGTGTTACCAACCCTAGTGTGAAGTGGTGCCTTGATTAAGCTCATCATCTCATTGCTAAGATATTTTAATATTTAAATTTCCATGTCACATGAACTGTGTTCATGTTTGCCGAACTACTGAAACCTAACAGCATCAAAATGGGGAATATACTATAGATATTAATCCTCGGCGATTCTTTCTGTTGTTATGGAATTAGTAGATTCATATCTGACATCACTGAAAGCTGTCAGTTGAACAAACGCCGAATCAATCAATCAATCAATCCCCATTCACTTCTTCACAATATATTTCCTTAATATTCATTTTAAAATTGTATTCCTATGCGGATACTGTAAATTGTGTTGGTATGGGTTTTTTCAACACCAAAAGTTTTCACGTTTTCTTGTTTTACTCATGAATGTTGAACTCACTTTGTCAGTGCATTATTATATAATCAGACGATTAAATTCTCATTGCATTCATATGGAATTAAGATTCACGATAACAGAAACAAACAAGGATAATCTGAATTTGATTAATCAAGAAAACTTCCCTATGAATAATTCAATATGAAAATATCAGAGAATAAAGTTTCATACTTTAACTTGCGAAATGTGGTATTACTTACTGTGTTAAAACAATAAATCGATATGCAAGTGTGTGTGTGATGACAGCATATTAAAAAGAAGTTAAAAATGAGATGAAATGAATAATTAATAATGAAGTTTGCCACCACACATGGATAAATAATGACCCTCAAGATTTTCCCCCAGTAAGAGCCAAACACTTATTGACCCAAGGAGATACTTTGAGAAAAAAAAAAAAGGCTAAAACGTCGGAAGAGAAGAAGAAGAGAAGAGAAAGGCAGGTTCAGTTACATGTCTCTATTCTGAGGAGAGCAGAATGCAGACATTTTCCACTAATACACTGACAATGTTGTTATGCTGTACTGAAAGGTTATGCTGTGTTACTCAAAAGGAAAAACTCGGGGCTTCCCCATTCTCGAGATACTGATGCGGCATTGTTGTGCCTGTACGTACCTTATGAATTAAAGTGTACCCACGTTCACTCCTGCATATTTCTATCGTGAGATACAGAAACAAGAAGATCCTTGAAAACATCTATACTATAAACCTTTATGTATATAACATAATGATCTTTAAGCTGTGGGACGATATTCTACACGTGTTTGCATATCTATTTTATCCAAGTTTCGGGACTATGACGCGAAACTACTACGTCCACAGTGAAATATACAAAGATGGAACTCAAGAAGGGAAGAACTGTTACATCTGGCTCTGAAACGATTCCTACAGCCCTATATACTTCTAAACAGTGTAATGTATCATACTCCAAACACTAATGTACGAATACACCTATATATGGCTCCGTTATTCTATCCTATTTCTAATTTCAAAGACAGACTTATGACCCCAAATTACTGGTAATCTTAACAATTAATTATGTTTCATATCCACATTATAATTTGGCATAAAGACGTTTATCAAACATGTTATTACCTGTACAAGACTGCCACAATTTTTAAACTATAGACGTGTTAGCAGCTGATCTATGTAATAAATAACTAAGAATTTCTGAACTAAAAATCACATAATATAATTTTTGATTCACTACAACTCATGCATTCAGTGATCTCTGGAAGCTTTACATGAAGCGTATTGTTCCAGCTAAACTCTGTCCGTTAAATTGTTGAAACTTATTAAAATATACGAGCATTAAAGAGTTCTCTGTCCATGCGTGTTTCCGTAGTCGTCAAAAATACTTTACTCTTCATAGAGAGGCTGTTTCAGAATCTTTGAATGTAGCATATACGTGTATATCAGTCAAACAATTTTCTTTGTACGTATTTTCAAAGTAAATATTTCATACGTAGGATAAATAATATATTTAAATAATGAAAGCAATCCCTGATAAATGTAAGGATTCTAAATTTCTATGTCACTAACAGCAGAAATAAAATTAGTTTTAATGAAGTCATTATTGTAAAGAAACGTGGAGTTCAAAGGGCGTCTATGTACATCTATGTGAGTCGTACTGCTTGCATTTTTTTTTCTGCGGCGACGATCTCAGCTAAACAGGATAAATATTATTATTATTGAAGAGAACACAAATTCAAGATGTATGAACCTGTTGGAAGAAATGTTTTTACTTGCATTAGTATTATTCTGAAGAAGGAACTGATGTTCAGGAATTCCATTGGTTTACGTATATAACTGCAAATACAATCAAAGAATTTGGAGTAAAAAGGATGCTGTTCCAGAAAAGATATTAACACTCTTTCTGGTTTCATTTGATTTAGGATACCAGGATGAAACTAATACAAATATAATAAATAATTGATATAAAACGTTATCTCGATTTTTTAACACATATTTGCATAAATCAATTTTCACTTGCCATCCGGACGTTTATATAAAATGCAGCTACATCCTTTTACCACCAATGCCTCGAATGCGTTCTATATACACAGACTACAGAGTAAGACCTATTGCGGCAGTCTCGTACGGCTGGGTTACGGGGAAGAAGTGTTAGTAAGAATGCGACAAGGGAGCCAGCAGCGCGGTTCACAGAGGCATGGCATGCACACTGCCTGCGGCAGCGGCGGCCGCAGCGCTGTACACACCGAGATGCTCGAGCGGGTACGGCAGTAAGGTCAGAGGGTGGTGGTGATGCAAGCTCGCCAAGTGATTACCTGTGGGATATGGAAGTCCGAAGCTAGGGTAGCCCGAGTAACCACGACCAGCCGCATAGGCGGCGTACGCGGCTGCGGGGAAACCTGCGCAACAAAGCACATAAAGTCATTAGTTGCTGTCCATTAATATACAAAATACACACTGAGCCTCATGGCGGAACTCCATTTAACATGTCAGCAGTTCATTAAGTGAATATCTCAAGGTTTGTGACAGAGGCACGTAATGTCTGCTTCAGACACGATCAATTTGGTTATAAGCTATATATTGTGGCATTCTTATATATGCATTACATTCTCTATTTATCTTGCTTCTGGAATATATTATCATTTCTCATTCTTTCACGTTACAGCTTATTTTGATATGTTATTATCTGGGGTTAGTGCCTTGTTGTTTATTTCTAGACCTAGTTATAATGTCTGTTCACTATAACTTCATATAATTCCAACATAATCAGTAAAATATATTAATGTTTCGAATATTCTCAGGTACACCCCTTCGCTGTCATAAATATTTGATATGTTTCAACTAGGCTAATTTCTCACCCATATTAAGTTATCTAAATAAGTCAAGTTTTTGCAAAATATTAAATAGAGTTCCGTCACAAAACTTCAAACATCTGGAACATAATGAAAACAGAAACCATGTAAAAACTTACAAGTCATTATTCTTTGATCTGGACTGAGACCACAAGCAACCTATGGCCATTGTTTCAACAATATTATTTGGATACCTTCGTGTGAAAGTAAAGATTCTTTATAACATTTTAACTTAAAATAAGTGAGATTTAAGGAGGAAACATGTTCCGTTATTAAACAATTTTTTTATTGGGACAAAAGGACTGTAAAGTATAATGAGTTTAAATGTAATACAGTATGGCTTAAAATACTGTAAATGAAAGAAACCTATCACATATTGTAATAACAATTCAATTCAATTCAATTCATGTTTATTTACGTGCAATAACTTAACAGCACAGTGGCCAATTATAATAATAATAACAATACAACAAGGTTAAATGTTTGTGTAAAATGAAATTACGTATAATTCAAAGAGAAACTTATACAAACTAAAATAAACCCATCATTTTTCCAACTTAATGAATTCTCTTGCTTTTGAATAAGGGACGCCGTTGTTTATTCTGTAGTGACTGAGACAGAACATCAGTATTGTCGCCGAACATTTACTAGAAATTTGAAGGTGGAAAATGTAATACCAGGACTAACTACTCGCATATTCCCAAAAGAGACAATATTGTTGGGAACTATCATTCATTTAGCACATTTGTGAATAGACAGGAACATTCATTTCATATAGTTCTTACTGTCAAGTGCCCTCTATGTAATTCAGGTGGCTCCATACACTGACATACGTCGTATTTCTGAAGTCAGTAGTTCTTAAACTTTCCGGTGTACAGAAAAGGGTACCTCAGTGGAATACCAGATCCGTGAGAACTGAGGCTGCGCAGTGTTGAGTATCAAGATTACTATCTTCTGAGATGTGACGCCATGTAGTTTGGTAGAGGAATCTGCTGCCTCCCTCTTCAGAAAAGAAGAGATTCTTCTGCTCTGAAGACGAAAGTAGCGGGTTTCTCCGAAACATTCGTACCTATGTAACAAACTAATCGTTACTATGACGTCATCGATTATAAGATGCACGTCTGATTTGGCAACAGCTTTTTGCGGATATATATATTATAAAGGAAATATCAAGACTAAAATCTTCTCTGCATTAAAAAACACATATCAATAAAAAACTGAAAATTTAAACCAAACAAATTATCTATTCGCAGTCTTCTTCACTTCTGCATCCAGTCTAAAACCTTGGGCTGACAGATTCTTCAAAGTCGCTTTCTAAACCAGGGCAGTTAAAATTAGAACTGTCTCATAAGACATATTCTGTGCTATAAAGTGCAGCTACGAGTATACTGCAACATTTCTTGAACTGCTGTTCACTGTTTCCCTTCTTAATTTCTTCCAAGCAGCCGCGAGCCATTAAGCAATTTTTGAAGCAGATGCCCTCCTCATCTTACCAGATGGCGTTAGTGGAAGGTTTTCAGAGAACAACCAAGCCTCGTTTCCATTTATTAAACAATCTTTAAATGGTACATTAACTGAAATATTGCGAGGTTGAAGTTGGCTGGTCACGCAACAAGGAATCACAACTAAGACACACTTCTTCCTCTCAAGTTTAACCTTCAGTTCTTCAGATAAGTGTCCTAGAGAGGCGTCCAGGGTTAAATAAAGCTCTATGGCGTCTTTGCCAAATGTTTTTCGTCCAATCTTCTATCAAATTAGCTGTAATCCATTCATTTTATGTATGCATAATAATGTTTTAGGAAGCACCTCATTCTTACGTATTGTTTTGCGACTGAGAATACCATAAGGCAGTATTTTATGGCCATCTGAAACTATGCACAGCATCGCCGTTACACGCTGCTTTCCCTATCCTGTGAATCTAAGTTGAACTTATTTTACACTTTTAGGATCAACAGTAAAATTTCGAGGAATATTAAAATATAATACAGAGCCGTGCCTCGTCTGCAATATTTCTTCTTTAATTAAATAATATATCGTTTGAAGTTTAGCAGTTTCTCTTTATAGATAGTTGGAATTTTTTGACAGATCGATGTTCGATGCCTGAGTGATAGTCCTTCAGGTGGCATGAATCTGTCACACTCCCTTCGTCCAGCTTTAGAATTTATTCCGAGTGGTTTGGTAGTTTCTGTTGCCTTTACTTGCATAGTATGCTGCGTACTAGGCATCCCCTTTGCACGCGTCTCGTTGAATAAATGGAGGACTGCCACGTCCGCATCGAGGTCTTCCTACATTCCTCGGCCCTGCGAAGCTACTTGGTGGTTACTTCGCACGAAAGTATGGAAGCGTGGTTATTCTTCCGAAGATGAGACTTTGTTTCATTTATTGTAAATTTATGTTCTGCCGCTCTACTCCCGTGTTCTGCTCTAACAGGCCGTGAAGGCCCATAGGGTTGTGAGACGCCAAGGCTCCTACGTTTTGTGTAGACAATCTGCTCACAGATGGCGGTAATGTTGTCAGTCTTATGCAGTGACCACCCTTTACTTTTTATTTTAATTTCGCTTCACAATGGAACGCTTTCGAAGGCACTGTAAAGTGTCAATAACCCATAGCTTTAAGGGCTTGCAATTTCATGTAAAAATTAAAATACATCCACACGTATCCAGTAACAACTGAGACGATAACCAAATGCTAAACGAAGCTAACGATAACAATTATTACTGAAACTGCTTTGTATTTTAAGCCTCCACCTCCCCATCAGGAGTTATATGCATTGCAACAAGTAACGACATTTTAAAGAATTGAAATACATAGAAATTTTTCAAAATCGTCTCTGTTGCTATTTTCGTGTGTACTGTCCCATGACTAGTGCTTTGGGCATGAAGATTTTCCTTGAGTTTTAGTCATATAACATAATTTTTCTACATCGATTCTTAGACGCTCCCCAATGTAAGACGCATACCGATTTCATAAATTTTAATATATGAAAATGCGTCTTAGGATCTAGGAAATATGGCAGATGGCGTCGCAGACCAGAAGATAGTAATCTCGGTAACTCTTTAGAATTGTGCAGCTCAAATAACAGTGAACAGTGGCTAATTTTCTTAACATTATTCAGCCTTGCTTGGTTTAGATATAATGTCTTTTGCTACTATGATGTATGGAGATAGAAACTTGGATCCAACACAGTAGGTTTTTTACCTGAGGACGGAGAAAAAGTCATCTGTGAAACGTTGTTTTAAATGAAAAACAGGGAGATATATAACGGCTGGAAACTCGACCATAATATTAATATGTACAGTCGCCAAAATTCTGTCAAAAAATTAACAGATTTTTCCCGAATAGTTTCCCTATGATTTCAGAGTTCTGTTAATCCTGACATAAATTCTATGATTTTTGAACTGCGTTTTACCTGGATGAATGTTAGCCAATGGCGTAGTCTCCACAATGTCGAAAATCACCAACACCTATGTCCTGCCTTGAATTCGAAACCGTGACCGCAGCAGTTGCTCTGTGTAAGACCATGCACGACATAATCTGCTCTGCCAATAGGACCGGCAAAGAGGAATTTATAATGAACTACACTTCAGCTCCATTACCAAGTAGGATACCCAAATTTGTATAGCCGAACAACACAAGTTTAAATTAAAATATGTTGTAATGTTAAATTAATATTTGTGTCGAAAATAAATAAAATGAATTAATCTTGATATAAGCGTTAAGAACTCTGAAATACAATCATTTTATTCTACACAGCGAATAAATCTGTTTACGTTTTAAAGCTAAAACGTTAACAGCCTAAGCAAAGAAATGTTAATTGAAATATACTAGCACAAATAATACAAATTGTACGTACCGTCAGGTAAGGCCCCAAGCGACCACATAAAATCTAGAAATGTGGAGAAAAAGAACAAAATATTAGAACATTCTGTTCAAAGCATGTAAACTCCATGGGGGAAAAAAAAGAACATGAGAGAGAGGGTGTATTTAATTAACACGTCCCGTATCAAGGGAGATGAACGTGTGGATTAATAGATTTTAATATTTATAGGGTAGGGCATGATATTCAGACATGAATGAAAATAAATCAGGAAATCAAGAAATGAGAGCGAATGATTTACTAATACGTTTTTGACCAACTAAACACTTACAAAAGAAGATATGGGCGAATTGTTAGCATCCATGAAATTTCATAACAGCTATTGTGATGATCTACCGTTCTACTGCATCTAATCTAGAGGCTGCACTGGAAGCACAGACAAAAGTTGCAGTACACTCCCGATTATCCGAGATAAGTGGGGGCACAAGCAAAGATAATCCAACAATACATTTGAAACCCACATAACACGTTATTTAGGATGTACGAAATTGTCGGAATCATAATTGTGCACAACCTTACATACAGCAGTGAGAAAGAAAGTGATTCTGTCACTCCTCTGCTTTGCTGATGAAGCTGTTCACAGGTTCATAGATGAAGCAATCAACATTATGGATTGTTTACACAGTTCATGTGACGGATATCAGACAAATGGAAACTTGATCCTCAATTACTCGTGTGTAGGAGTATGCGCGGTTTTACAAGACTTGCAAAACCACGTGATCTTTAGTGAATTATCACTTCAATCAGTTAAAAGACTCAGTAGACGGATGATAATCGGGAACCTGCTGCAACCTGGTAAGTATACAGGCCTAAGCTTACTGATGAGGTATGAGTAATATGACATGAAGTACGTGTATACCGGAAATCTCACAGCTGCTGAGCACATTTGCTTGGCGAGATAAAAAAAAAAACAGAGGGAAAGGGGAAATACTACGCTAATCTGAGATATTTCTAGCAGAGGGTTTCATGGTCCAATTAAGGGACGCTGTGACGAGAATATGTGGCTATTTTGGGCAGAAGACACCAGCTGGACACTGAACGGGAAAGAGATTGACATCAGCAAATATATCTTGAGTACAGTCAGTCTGTTTCGCCTCCATGTCGGTTTCAGAGGCTCAACTTCGACGATATGAACAGTCGAACCAGAAACATTTTAAACTTACAGCCTTCATTAGTCAGCCCAGGATACACCTTCACTTTGAATGATGGGTTCTTGTCGCTGCACACCCACAGAAGAGAAGCACGTGCCAAGCTTGAGAAATTCGCAGCCAAATCACAGATTGCCAACAAACGCCACAACACGCACGCAGCTATCCTGTCCTTGCTGACAGCTCGTTATCTATATCTATGTTTATCTATGTTTCATTTCCATTCTTGATCATTTGTCTTATAACTTTCCTTTTTTTCAAATCTGGGAATCAAAATATGTTTCAGCAAAACATAAGTAAAATTGAGCTCTGTAAACTGATATTAGTGGACAGTTTCTTTTTGGAAGAACTATACNTTCCAAATCTGGGAATCAAAATATGTTTCAGCAAAACATATAGTAAAATTGAGCTCTGTAAACTGATATTAGTGGACAGTTTCTTTTTGGAAGAACTAGACACACAGTTTACCAATGAATTACGACTGGGAGCCTAGCAGCTGTCATTAAATCTCGAGCCCTGTGCCTTAGCAGACGCTATATTTCAATACATTGAATTCGGTTCTGCCTTCCTTTGCCCAAACATGCATTCCAATAAATATGAAGATCCACTCTTCCCAGCAGTGAACAAAGCAGCAGAAACTAGGGGACAACTGTCAGGAATCATGGACGATGCTGAAGGAAACTGTTGTAAACATATTAAAATGAAACGTGGTCTAGTCTTCTTGGCAGAATTTCATCTTGGGAGATGGTTGCCGCAACTGCAGAAGGGAGAATGCCCAGTGGATCCGTCCGTCTGAGGATACATTCGTACTTGGCCTGCCTACACAACTAGGAGTAACAGTACACCACTGCGAACTATAGGAGATGTGAATGATTTATGGAGACACTACTTGGGTCACTACTTGGACTACATTTCTAGCCGGGTGGATCACTATGGAGTTCTAATCTAAGGCAACTAAATACTACAATGTGTTTCAAAAGTACAACAAATTATGTATGAGGTTTTCACAAACGTTATTTTTATTCTATGTAATATTTATACAAATAGAAATCGTACTAATTCTAACAACACAGAACAATAATTTCTTTCTGTTTTTTTACTTAGATAGAACCTCAATGTGGCCCTTTTTAATGTTAATATATAATTAATGAGTTAATTTTCTTTTCCAAACATACAACACGTTCAATGACACGAAACGTTATATGAAAGGCTTATTTCTGCCAATCAGTTAACATTAAATTTGCAATAATTTACAACAAATGACGTTAAAACCATCATATAAACACAGAAAGAAAACACACGTTAGCAAGTCATCTAACTATACACTTGATTTTAATAATATATAATATGTATATAACATTGTAAACGTTAAAACAGCTATTACAACTAACACCACTAGTTAAGTACAGTAAATACTCCAAGTAAAATACATCCTTCACCCACGAAGAAGACAGGCAGCTGGAGGGAACGGACACTTGTTAAAATATAAGTCATCAAAATGCATTAATAATATCATTAGGAAAAATTGTATAAAATAAATACTTCATCTCTCTTTGAACAAGTAAAAAATCTACTTACTAAAAAGTATTATTATTATCTAATAAGACTAAAAAATGAGCCCATAAATGTTATTATACACTGCACAGAAGGTGTAGGCGAATAGTGCTACACCTCCTTAAAACAGGACCCTTAACTACAAATAAACTATCTATTTCTAACATAAACTAATATAATTATTCTACATTTCATAATGTTATTGTGATATGCTTCTTGTCTCATCTTGATAACGGTATTATTTTTTTCTCTCAAAGAGACACACTAGAATAAGTACAAGCTCTAAGCTGTGATGTATGTTATGAAGCTAGAATATCTACTCGCGCCAACCACTACTGGAGTAAACTCAACATCTAAGTACCGGATCGCAGCTACTTCACCTGACTTACTGTGAAATAAAAATGGCGCGTCGTCGTCCTCTCTGCGCCCTCCTGTGCACAAACCTGGAACCGACAAGGGGCATCCCCCACCTTCCCTTTTGAAGAATTTTAGTTTCAATTCTAGGGTTTGAAACACTGTCACCACACCTTTAGACAACACTGTCTCTACAATGTTACAATTTATATCATATAGACAATTATGAAATTTCATGAGTGTTTAATTGAAACTCATATATTTACAGTTAAATAAATTAGATGTAAATATTGGAATATCAGTATTTTTAATCTGGTTCATACTGAATTAAGGTGAAAGTTTGAACACTGTAGCGTTTGGACATGAATATCGATTTCATGAACGTTGATTAGAATAAATTTTCTATTTTGCAAAAATAGCTTTTAATTTTATTTTTCACTACTACCTGGCAGTTTGCAAATGTTTAATTCGAGTGCTATGAGATAGTATTTCGCAGACTGAACACAGTTTTCACTTTCACCTTACCTCACTTTAATACACCAGACATTAATAAAAAACTGTTACTTTTCAAGCTAGTGTATCATAGAAAGACACAAAAAGGAACATGATAATACTGATAAGATATTAAGTATTTTACATACAGAGTAGTGTACACTGCTTTTTTTTTTTGCAGATAATGGAAATACCAAACATCTACACATAGGCGATATAGTTTCATGATATCCTCATATATATTTCTATATGCTCTGTCGTATAATATAAGCTTCAGGAGCTGAACCTACGCAAAAAAATTAAACATCTCCACGAGATCATACAAATTTACAATTTGGAATATCCATAACGTTATAACGTAAGAGAAGAGACATTGATAAACCTAAACGTTTGTGACAATAAGAAATGTGTTACCACCACTTGCTATATAAACACTTGCTATGATTTAAGGAATAGTGTCCAACTTCCTTGGTTTTGTTCAGAATCATGACAGCAACCCACGACCTTCATTAAAAGTATAATGGTTAAACTGAAGCACTTTGCTTGCCAGGTATCTGGTTTTACTACTGAGCATCATGGTCGCGAAATGCAGTCGATCTTTTGAACTGTTTCAAAGTCGTCCACGGAAGGCGACACAGCGTAAGGGCGGTGCAAGCTGTGGTATGGGGGCTACGATATAATTATGATTAACCTGCTAAAAATTCTAAATTTTAAATATATTCTTTAAATTATAAGGCGGAAATTGACTAATATATATATACGTGTATATATACCCCCACTACTCCACTACTACTAAAACCCATTAAAAGTGATTCGACTACCAAATTTAATGCCATCATAATTTGATATCACTTTGAAGTCTTGTGTGCTCACTCCCTTCCCAATCTATACAGGCCTGGTTCTACCACAGTATAATAATGACAAATTTTATTACAAATCACTTTATAAAAATAATGATGTGCTTATGTAAGCTATGAGCGTATATTCTAATAATCTCCTTCTACTTTCCTATATAATACGTTTCGTTGATTGTGTCATAGGTCTCAAAATTGTATATAATTATCAACGATATTTTTTTGGAGATGCACACAAAACTAGGTACATAAGATGCTTCGAGTGCGTACTTCGCTCCACAGAAGACGTTCTGTAGTACGTTCTGTTGCAGACTATGCAGACTGCGTAAACATCTCGATATGTTGCAGATAGAACATGCCATGTTGACCTCACAATAATTGTCATAAACATGTAGTCTCCTTTTACGATAAAATTTCTTATTTTCAGGATAGATTCTAGTACATTATACTCGGTACCAAGATAATATCGAAAATCTCACAGCAAAGAACCGTTTACGACGTACGATGTCACGTTAGAACCAACAGCTCAGTACAAGATGACCCGCTTTAAATGATAACTATGCAATATGCAATTAGTAAAAGATATACTCAGAAATGCTATAAATTCTCTAAATCTGTTAATTCAAAATTCCTGAACACATCAAAGCACACGCCGCTCTGAAGTCTAGGCCACTTTACCAACATTACAACACTAATTTTCTCTCATAGCTACGGTCGCGTACACAAATATAATTCAACGTACGATGATTCTTTTGAAGGCATTTAATAGATTTACTGTATATTGTAAGTGGTGAAACCAGGCCTTACGTCACTAAATAAGAATACATATCTACCAGTCTTATAACCCAACACTACGATTCTACAATACTTTAACGATGAGGCCGCTTTGGTTGGACTATTATTGTTTCAAGAATTCTAATAAAAATGTCCTAACGTCACTACTATACACTAATAGGAATCACAGTTTCATCCCTGAACTTAAGTAAATTATGTCACATTTAGAGGAGAGGGCGTGGGATGGGAGTGAGAGGGCAGCGTGACTCGATCCGCCACCTTCAACTCTGTACAGGAATGATACCCTACGTTCCAGCAGGGGCTTATAACTTGTGTACACAGAGACAATGGGATACCACATGCCTGTGAATGCATTTAAATCAAATGGCAGTTCCTGTGTGTATGACATATGATTATCTAAATCAAAAGAAGGTTTAATAGAAGAGGAATCTTGCTCATGGAATCCAGCGCGGAATTTATTGACTGAATTCAAAATATGTATATAGGTGGACCGGCAATATACAAGTTTCACGATAAGTGCGTCACAATGCGGAAGAGACCATGTGACTTCCAGAAACTTGAATACAGAACATACCACCAAATGCAGGCGATTCTGGTACTATTATTGTGTGTAAGGGTTCGAACACATACTCAACTTGCATGGAAAGGAGGGGGGTAAAGGGTGGACATGGTGTCGCAGTTTGGCACTATTCTGGAAAGAATGCCCTCTCCTCTTCACTGGGGCCCTGGTAAGGGTGTGAACATGGGTCAGAGTCCCACAGCCGCGGGAATGGCAGGGTGGTACATGGCTGAAACATCCAACCCCTGCACCCGCAGTAAATCATTCATACTGTATGTAAGGGCGGCTGCAGTGGCCGGAGTGTGATGGGGGCGCAGTGTCGCAGCAAAAGCGCGCTTGCAGGAAGCGGCAGCCTGCACCGCCCCCGCCATGTTGTACAGGGTCGTGGCTGGTGTGTACTGCAAACAGTTTGGGTTGGTAGCGGCGGTCGAAGGGGCCACAGCTATGGGGACCATAGCAGTATGAAGACCCACCCCTAGAGGGTGTGGGGCCGCGGCGGTAGGGAGGGGGTACGGGGTGTAGCGATAAGCGGCGGCAGGGTTCGCCGCTAGACTCGACGCTCCAGCCCCAGGAGGCAGACCGCCAGCTGTGGCCGCCGCGCCGGGGTTCAGCATTAGCAACTCACCGTATGCGCCTCGGCCCGCGGCCCGCGTCTTGGCCAGGTTCGTAGGTAACATCACCTCCTTGGGCTGAGCCTTCTTGCATTCCACCTGCAACAGTCACAAGCGCTTTCAAGGACTAGTTCGAGTTCAGAAGCTGAAGAACATGAAATGGGGACAATAGGGCAAAGAAATTAGGCAAATGCTTTAAAAGGATATGCTCACCTCATTAAGACTTAAGAATTAACTAGTAGAGATATTACCAAACTTTGGCAGCACATATTTTCCAAATGGTATAATCATTTAAAGCGCATGGTTAGTACATGTACCACTTGCTTTATTTCCCTAAAAAATATTGTAGATGTAGGCTCGTTGTTGGGCAACGACCGCGATATAAGCAAATATACAAGAACCGTTACTGAAGGGTTTCGCAAACAAACGTGTTCCCATGGTAACAGCTGAACTACAACAATAATGAACGGTGTTTTCTGTGTGGTCCGTGTCGAGATGTTATAATGGGGATATGTTTGGCTGCAGTTAGTTGAATTCAGTCAATCAGAAGAGAAGTAGGTAGGCGTGAGATGGCCGCAAGCCTGGGAGTTAATTGTGAGACATTCACCAGCCTGTAAGTGTGTAAGCAGAGGACACTCTTAGGATCAGTTACCAGGAAACGGCTAGTGAAAACAAACACAGAATACTTAATATGTGCTTTGGTGAGAAGACGAGTGCATGAATTAGCGAGAGCGCTATAGTTACTTGTAGTTACCATCTTTAAGTGGTTAATAAATCCAATTACCAATCCAACCCCCGTCTATAGTCACTCCATAAAATCGTGACAATATTAACCACCCGGTATTTGTAATGGAGAAACAGCTTTGTCTGTGGGCTATGGTATTGATGTTTAAATATTATTTTGAAGAATTTCTGGCTTCCAAATATCAAACATACTCAGCCCTTTTCCAAGTAATTAAACAAATGGGAACGAATCTTATTTCTTCTACTGTGCGTAAAACTCCTAACTTGTTTACCTTTACTTTAAATTCCTTATGTCTGTTCATCTTTCTCATATGAATTACGACACATTTCAGTAAGAAAGAGACAAAAACTTCCATAACTTGTATAACTTGTCAGAGCACTGGCTACCAAGAGTGGCCAAACACTTGTCACTGTCACCTATCATGAGTCTGCATGAGGGTTGCTGGGATTATAGACGGACAGGATGACTCCAGTATATCAGTCCAGTATCTCTGGATTGTTGCTACTCCTGCTTATCAGCAAGACAGGCACTGAAGAAGGAGTAACATGACAGTCGGGCTTAAGATGTCCCTATATCTTGTTATAACATTGAGTCCTGAATTTCTCAGCATTCAAATTCCACTTGTTTATGATTAAATACACGAGAAAGTAGGATAACAGGCAGATGAGGGAAGAAATGCTGAAACGTACATTCTCACACATGAAAGTCCTATAGATGTAACTGTATTATTTCAATATTAATATTGTTACTGTTAACAGGAATCTTCCTGGGGGGTAAAGGGCGACTGGAACGTAAGGCTGATTTCGCCGTCATCTGTGAGCCGACTGTCTAGGAAAAATGTGGGAGCCTCGAGGCCTAACGAACCTCTGCGCATTCACGGCCTGTTACAGGGATAGCTTTATTTTTTTTTACTATTACCCTTTTATTTTTGTGACGAATGTATGATTTAAACGTATATTCTGTTTGCCTCAAATTTGTCAAACTGCAACCTGTTTGTAACTGCTGACTCTCAAACAACACTTCATACGTAACGTCTTGTCATGTTCATGTTCATTTCCACAACAAATTTCACATGCCTAACTTCAAAAGTGTATTCAGATATCGCCCACAATCTGAAGTTGTCTCAGAAAATATTAGCATAGCCTCCATGTTATTACTTTGCATTAAAGCAAACAAACAAACTCCGTGATTTAAGTCGGCAAGCGAACTATACCGACCGAGCGACCGCCTCTTGTCGGCGAAGTTAGTGCCAACTTTAGGTGATAGAGGGTGTCGCGTGGTCAGCACAACGAATCCCCACGGTCGTTAATTTCGGTTTTCTAGACCAGAGCCGCTATTTCCTTAAAGTATTTCCCCAACTATCTTCACGAGGCTGAGTGGACCCCGTACCAGACCCCACTAATTCCCAGAAAAAAAATCTGGTAGCGCCGAGAATCGAACCCGGACCTTTGGATTAGTAACCAGGAACGCTGACCACTAGACCACAGAGACTATCCTATTCCTTCATATTAAAGACTAAAATTACCATAATATAATACGCAATTTCTTTTTTACTCTCTTGGAGTCTCCCACCTTGTAAGCACATGCGTCCGCCATGTCGCTACTACTACTTTTATGAAATTGGAGTGGCCACAAATGGCTTAAAGTTCATAGGAATTTTCGTAAAAATGATAAAGGTAAAAAACAAAAAGTAAAGCTATCCCTGTAACATGCCGTGGAGGTCAATAGGGTTGTGAGACGCAGAGACTCCCACATTTTCTAGACAACTGGCTCATAGATGGCGGCAAGGTTATCAGCCCTACGTGCCGGCCCACCTTTTTCCCCAGGAAGATTCTTGGTACTCAATTCTATTAGGAGCTGAGTCGACCCCAGGGTCATAGTGCGGCTGGAAAAATTAGGTCAATTGAAAAATCCAATGGCATCAACGGAAATTCAACCCGCGACCTTCTGAATTGTAGTATAATGCCTCAACCAGCTACGCTACCGTTTGCCCCTCGTAAAAAAATGTTCAAAAGTTTGAATGGGAGACATACAGAGACACACGGAGCGTGGTGATACCATAAGTTTACTTGTTTTCCTTAAGGAAGGAATGTAGGCTACAAAGGAAAACCTAAATCTGTGCCAAAGCTATTAGCTAGGAGAATATCTGGGCGCGTGACGTCACAGACTTCACGCTCCGGACGCCTGGCTGACGGTACTCAATGCATGTGATGCAGAGTGGACCCCAGAGCTTCTACCAGACTTATTGGCTATGGGGAAAAGGCATGTTTCCGCACAGACTCGAACTCCGGACGTCTAGATCGTAATCAATAAGTGACAGATCTGTGAATATATTTAATAGGGATCCTGAAAGTTTACAGCTTACTGTGACGGATCATGGAAATATAGGTTTCTATAGGCGCCATTCTTACCGGTTGTGGTTTTTCTACTTACGGTGTTTTAAACAGCTAAAATGTAAATATCCCACATGTTAAGTTGCTCTGTTGCTTTGTATGGAAGTACAGACATGAAAACAAAATGGTTTTTCTTTACATAGCTATGTATATATTAATACGATAATTAACAATAGTTTCAATTTTGAAGAAAGTAAAGTAAAGGTATCCCTATAACAGGCCGTGGAGGCCCATAGGGTTGTGAGATGTTGAGGTTCCCACATTTTCTAGACAATTGGCTCATAGATGGCAGTAAGGTTGTCAGCCTTCCGTGCCGGCCACCCCTTACCACCAGGAAAATTTGTGGTACTCATTTCTGTTAGAGGCTGAGTCGACCCCAGGGCCATAATGCGGCTGGAAGTATTAGATCAATTGAAAAAAATCCACCTCATCGGGATTCGATCCCGCGACCTCCCGGCTTGTAGCATAGTGCCTCAACCAACTACGCTACCGCGTTCAATTTTGGATAATCCTTTAAATTAAACTGCTTACTGGCGTAAGAATTTTTCAGACTGTTTCAATAAATGTCCCTTAAAGATCACTTTCAATAAGTGTAAACATTGTTAGATCACAATGGTATTTAAAGTATAGCCAGCAGTTAAAACAGCCAGTATCAAAGTACTATGAGCCCACGTCTGAAGTTGCTTCCTTACGTATTGTTACTCTTCTGTCATAAAAGGGACAACTATATACACCTCGTTCATTATAACAATTTCCAGAGTACGCCAAAGTTCGTATTTTTTAAATTAATTCACAGTCTTTGTGTTCCTAAAACTTCCTTGACAGATATCAGTTTATGCCTGCACGAGCGCTGGGCAGCACGTGCTGTAGCTGGAGCAGTATGAAGTTACTCCCCTGAACGTAGGCAGCAAGAATTTCACTAGCAGACTGGACAAGACGGTGTGGCTTGATGCGACAACGCAATTACTTCAGCTTAATATGATATAAGCTATTATAGTGTTTGTATTAATTTGTCAAAAGCCACAATTCCAGGACAACAAGATTAGTGTGTATGTGGGCTTGCTGATGTGACTTAAAGTGGCGTGAAAATTCCGAGAGGCGTCTCTTCTTCCTCAGGTCTACTCTGTGGGTTTAGATTGATGCTGAACGCCCAGGATAGCACTTCGTTCAGTCCAAGATGAAAGTCGAATTATTCGTATGTGTGAAAGAGAGTACTTCACTGTAAATACTAGAAGGATTACAGGCTACGATGTGAAATGCACGGCCAAGTCGGATAATTATACAAGAAGTTCTGAGAACACTTTCTGAAGCACATTTTCCTGCATATGTTTCGGTGCAATTGGAATGGAGTGTGTAGGTGCGGTTTCTCTTGTGAAGAAACGTGTGGGAGGCAGAATGTCTGACTGGTGACACGGACCAGCAATTGTTGAGTACTGTGTTTTAAACTGGTGCAAGAGAAAGCCTTTGTACGACATCGAATTTCTGCAAGTAGTAATAAAACTCTATATTGAAGTTAACTTGTTTGTTACGCAGATATGTGCGTTATTTATAGAGACTGCAACCAAGTGCAGGACATATTTTGCGTCCAACAGACAGAAAAAGAAAACAATATTTAACATATTATTACATGTATACGCATTGCTAGGCAACGGGTTGGTGAACAAGTTCTTGCGAAGACAGATTCTTGGTAAAAAGTCCGTGGCTAGGTTACGCAACAAAAGATGGATGTCCGTAAACATTCTCACGGCAAGGAATATAGGCAACAATAGAAGAACTGCCGTTTCTATGAGACGGACGGTAAACACCCCCTTTTAGAACGTGACAACAGTATAGGAGAAACTGTGTTCTCTATGCTGTCTGCTCCAAAGAAACGCATGGAACAATAGGTTGTCTGTTGCCAGGCAACGAAGCTGTAAACAAGCATCATTAACGAAAGAAGATGGCGTTTTCCGTGGGTTCGTGCACAGGAGTTATCTTGAAGACAATCGGCGCTATGAGTCAGTCACTTCTCCGTATGAGATAGCCACGGAAAGTTCGTAGTTGAAGAAGAATTACAAGTCGACCTGCGAAGAGTTAACGTGTGAGGTCAAAACTTTACGTGTGCTGTTGTGCAATGATATCTTGAGTGTGACAGTTACAGTTTCTGTGTTAAAATCCGTTTCTAGGAAACGGATAGGGAAACTTTTGCAGAGGAATAGCCGTTGTTTAGATCTGTTACCTAGCAACGACTAGTGTAAGCAAATATAGAAGTCTTTATTTATGTGTTATAATTACAGTAAGCTTGAAAGTGATATAATTATTTAGAGTTACAATAGTGAATATCGACTCACCGATCCAAACCCTCGTCTTTAGTCACTAATAAACGTGATAATATGTAGGATTCGAGGTTCTCATAGCAGTAGTTACGAAGAGTTTTATGTTTTGGGGTATAACATCATGTAGTCTGCTCAGAGTTAAGCGACATTTCGGAGGAAAATGTCGCCTCCATCTTCAGTTCTGATTCCTACCTGCTTCATGATGGTTTCTTGCTTGACTTAATCTTTGACCATAATGATGGAAGCGAAATGTCGGTTGATTTTCAACGGACTACATGACGTTATGTCCTAGAAGATAAAATTCTTCAATATGTTACACGCTTGGATGAAATAAGCGACCACTTTAGGATATTACGCAGTACTTAACGAAGAATTTCATGATATATATGGGTGAAGGCAGTGAAACCTGGAAATCATGTTGCTAGGATGCAGAAGGCGAGAAATTCATAAAATATGTGGTGGCGAAACTTCGGAAACGCCCACTCAAAAGACAGAAAGTTATATGGGCAAAGAGCCTTAAGATGGATAATAGGGAGACGAGGTATGAAGAGGAGAGATGGATTGAGCTGGCTGAGGACCGTATCCAATGACGGACTTTGGAAGTAGCACCTTAGGATTCAGCTGTCAAACGTTAATTGGTTAATATTTCATTGATATCAACCCATACGCTTTAACTGTTTAAGAAACCACAACTTCCTACATATTTACCCTCTCCTGTTAAACTGAGCCTCAAAGGGTGACAAAAGAATAGTCTATCACGGTGACTTCATGCGTTATTATCTGTTTATAATAATTATCGAACAAAAGCCGGAGTTGGACTACGGGGTGGACACCTCGGTGTCGGTGTTAGATTCTAGGTAAGGTCAGTAATTATTCCTTCATCCACAGCTTTCAAATCATCTCAGCAGTTTGCCCTAACTATAATATTATGTGTACCTGCACTCTCCTCGGAGGTAAATCAGTTGGGGTGTGAAACCGGTTACCCATTTCCATCTAGTGACGAAGTTAAGAGTGCAGTACCTCCACATTCCCCCCTACATCTTCATGATGTGATGCTTAATTAAGCACAAGGACAAGTTTACACCTTTAACCTTACCGAACCGGTTTTGGGTACCGAATGGAAAGCCATACCATGCCTCGTTCCATATTACGCAGAAAAGTGCTCCACTGCAAAAGGGTGCTTTTAGATGAGGTTCTCACATACGGCTTAGGAGAAGATTTAACCCTACTTCACCCGTTTCATTACGTGTGACACCGCACCCCTCTACTCTCCATGCGTGCACAAATCTGCCCCGTAGGCAGGGCGCCTTTCATAACCTCTCTTCGCCAAACAAGTCGTTAAAGCGAGACGTTATATCGGCAAGAACGCCCACACAAACACACATATGCACCCACAATAGATGCGGCAAGAACACCCACACAAACACACATATGCACCCACAATAGATGGGCACATAAAATGTGCTGAAAGCATTAAGAACTCCAAGTTTTACATGTAAGATGAAGCCTAACCTATCTGACGACAAACGCTCTTCATATTAACTTCAGTCAAGAGGCAACAGTGAAGTGATGAAATTAGACATGAGCAGTATGCATAAAGCAAGTCACACACTTCATTCACATTCTTAATTGCGTCCAACTGACACCAGATACGGACGTTTTTCAGCCTTACTCGCCGGCCGCCCTTTACCTCTAGACTCCTGGTACTCATTTCTGTTAGAGAGTGAGTCGGCCCCAGAGCCACAATACGGCTGTAAGGATTAGGTAAATTGAAAAATCCAATAAACTCATCGGGAATCGAATCCGTAACCTTTCGGATTGTAGCATAGTAAAAGTAAAGTAAAACTATCCCTGTAACAGGCCGTGAAGGCCCATAGGGTTGTAAGACGTTGAGGGTCCCACATTATCTAGACAATCGGCTCAAAGATGGCGGTAAGGTTGTCAGCCTTACGCGCCGGCTGCCCTTTACCCTCCATGAAGATTCCTGGTACTCATTTTTGTTAGAGACTGAGTAGGCCACAGGGCCATAGTGCGGCCGGAAGGAAAAGGTCAATTGTAAAAATCCAATGACCTCATCGGAACTTGAACCCGCGACCTTCCAGCTTGCAGCATAATGCCTCAACCAACTACGCTACCGCGTGCCCCTTGTATTCTGAGAATATGGGGGTTAGGAGCTATCCTGACTGAGGAATTCCGTTCATTTCATCCGTCTCTCTACGCCAAATGAGGTGTCGTATCCTGGATAAGTGCAACATATCTATTTCCAAATCACTGTCTGCTGTGTTCGTACTATCTTTCTACTTATTTTGTACATCATACGAGCTGTGCAGCTGAAGCAGTGTCGTCAAATAAGTACAAGTAACTGAATGAGCCACTAAGACGTTCTGCGGGGTACAAGCAATGTACTTGTTTAAACACTCGCGAGACAGAAATGGAGCAAAGTGAGAGATACGAGGCCCTGACAAAGCCTGTCTGAGTGTATGAGGGTTCACAAGAGGGATGAATCTTCTTTACTCTCTCATCTCATCTCATCTATCTTGAAATTCACTTTAGCCCCCCACTAACCTTCCTATTTCGTCTTACGGAAACGAGGATGTACATTAACGCGGCAAGACTTGCAGCTTGGTTAATACTGCGATCCCGGAGTAACAAGCTCTCATATGTCAGTTCCCAGTAACACTATATGGCACTGATTACCGCCAGACTGGGTCGTCTGGAAGGGTTACTGAAGCCAAGATCATTACTTTAAGAGTCCTTAGGTCGTGATTCGTGTGCGGCACAGGGCCTCAATCTCCCTAAATTCACATACCGGTCAAATAACAATGGGTACCTCTGGGCATTGTCTCGCATTTTACAGTACAAATACTTGTCTACTTCTTTTTCTTCATACAATTCAAGAGGAGGTCGCAAGAAGCCCTTTCCAGTGATGGCCGGAGTCTCTTAGCACGTTCCCCTTCTCCCCTTCACCCCACCAAAGGCTGAGGCCCAAAATAATCCCATTTATCCCTTGGTCCTTCCCGTAACTAAAAGATCGGTTAACTCACTGTAACTCTGCTTCTTGCGGCCTGATCTGACTTCTTTGCCTTGAAAAGAGAAGTCTGAACGACCACTGACTACTGGTTCAGAGGACCACACCTATCATTCAATCGTCTTCCTGGCCTGAGCTAATCTCACAAAAACTCGGACTTGTTGCAGGAAAATTCTTGTTTACGGGGGATCTCAGAACGTTCGTAACATGAATCACAGTCTAATCAGAACACTCTCTAAACGTAGGTAAAGACAGCTGGTTATTTTGGAAACTAACTCTAATATCCAATCGCAATGGCCGGTCACGGTAGCCGAGCGGTCTAAGGCATGCACTGTCTTCGCTCGCTCGGAAGCGAGCTGTCTTGTGTTTAGGTAGCGGCCTTGCGAGGGGCAGAACCTACTTCCAAGGAGACTCCGTGAAATGATTATGGGACTAAATAAGAGGAATGGGCTGGAAGAGCCATTGAAAAAAAATGCATCCATTTAAGATTCTTACATATCTCGCCTTTAGTTATTGTATCCTATTTATGCCTCTACCTTTAACTGTCAAAGGCTCACTTCCAGTAGTTGACATTGCTAACAGCAACTAAATAAGTTAACTAAATACTGACGGCATTGCAGATGTGGATTCAATTAACTTGACATTCGGGACAATGATGGAATTTTATCTTGAATGAACCTACAGCTCGAATGCATGTAAGGATTTTATGCTGAAGAAGGAAGTGTACCATGAAATTACAGTTTATATCTGAAGTTTCGTGTTACATTAGTTTCCAATAAGTCCATACCCCTTTCTTATGGGAAACAGCATATCTGATGTCCCTGTCTAATTTAGTAAAGTAACACAATATCTTTTTTTCGAAGAACTCAACTGGGAACGGATTACTATAACATGTAGTGACATCTGTAGAACCACTTCAGATTCACGGGATAAATTACAAAGAAGTTTAAAAGAAAATTTCACAAGTATGGATCGACCAACAAATGAACTGATGTTCTGACATAAAAAAACCACATCTGTGGTCTAGTGGTCAGAGTTTCTGGCTACAGATCCAGAGGCCCCAGGTATGATTCCCGGCGCTATCAGATTTTCTAAAAAGTAGTGGGTCTGGAAAGTGGTCCACTCAGCTTCGCGAGGAAAATTGAAGAGCTAATTGAATGGAAAAGTAGCGGCTCCGGCCTATAAAACCGAAATTAACGGCCGTGGGGATTCGTTGGGCTGATCACGCGACACCCTCTATCCGCTAACGTTGGCACTAATAAGTGGCGGCCGCTCCGTCGGTCAGTATAATTCACTTGCGGAATAAAGACACGGAGTGTGTTTTGTTTTTGATCTGACATAAAATAAACAGGTACACCACAGATATTCTGCATTAAGAATACTAAGATATGTAACACAAATAATACCATTAATAACTTACCATTTTATTGTTGATTTCGTGAAAATGAATTTCGCAGACTTTATCAACGACGTCCTCACTTTGAAATGTGACAAATCCAAAACCTGCAAAGAAAGACACGAGAATTAGAGGGCGCTCAATATAGCAATGGAAAGTACACGAAATATTACGTTCATCGAAACTGCATTTCACACAAAAGACGCGTTAGTGTTACAGAACGGTAAGTAAAGTTGGTTCGTAGGCAATTCAACTTCATAAGAGATCATTAACACCACCTGCATAACGTCCAATGAGTCGAAATTTCTAACAGAAGGAAGTCCGACTGTTAGAATCCCTGATTCGTGTCCTGGAGCACTCAGCTTTAAATCTGGACCCCGAAACATATTATTCTGAGGATTTCGTGGGTTTCCTCGACATCTCCAAACATATACCGTAAAGTAGGCTACGGCCGCATCTTTAACATCTTTCGAAACCATAATTCATTAATTACCTTCTTATTCGACAGGAGTAAACTGTAATGAGACCTATACAGAGCATTAGTCGGTCTCCTTTGAGTCAAAGAATAAGCAGTATATGTTTCCGAGACCAATATTAAGGGGCTGCTGATGTCTGCTACTTAGAGGTGATGTGTTTTCTTAAAGGTAGGAACAAAATTTATAAATATTAATTATAACTAACTTCATTGAGCTGAGGCCTCCTTGAGGAACCATCAGTCGCTCAGATACACAAGAATTCTCAAGTATTTCATGAAGCCTGAATGTTCATTACTACTTTCACAAGACACCGCCACTGTTCCCTCTTCTGAGCCAGATGAATCAAGTACACTCTATCCCATCCTATTTGTCTAAGATCCATCTTAATATTAACAACCCACCTACGTCCTCCTAGTGGTCTCTTTTCTTCTGGCTTTCCCACTGAAACCTTATATATGTTCCTCTTCTCCCAGTGCCAGCTACATGCCCTGCATCTTTCATCGTCCTTGAGTTGATCATTGTAATTATATTTGTCGAAGAGTACAAGTTATGAAGCTCCTCATTATGCCGTTTTTTTTCGGACCAAATACTCTCCTCAGCGCCCTGTTCTCTAATACACTCAAGAGACCAGGTTTCACACCTATACAAAACTATAAGCGTAATTACAGTTTTGTAGGGTTCAATTTTTATGTTTTTTAGATAGCAGGCGAGAAGTCAAAATGTTGGGAACTGAACGATGGCAAGCATTTCCAAAATATAAATTATATAAATTTAAAGGGTTCCAAAAATCCAGTCACAACACTATAAACAATAATAAAAAACTCATGGGTGAATATGATATTAAAATCATTAAAACAATGCAAACACCATAAATGTGTTTATTCTGAGTTAGGAAATACGCTGTGCTTCCAAACAGTACGGCGATAGCCAGCTGACAAAACAATCGGCTCCACGTTAAAGGAGCTTACGGTCTGAATGCTGATGGATAAAGCTCCAACTTCTATGGCAGAAGGGCGACAGTAGCAGACACAAAGCCTTTATAATTCCCAGCTAAAACGGAATGAATGGGCTAATAAGCCTTACAGTCTCGCGTAATGAGTGGGTTAGGAATTTTGAGTTATTTTCCGAGAATATAAATTGAGGTAATGCATACTGCAGTTCTATATCTATAATCAGCGGTCAACAACTGATGACACAGTTCACCAATCAGACAAAAATTCTCGCCAAACATTTTTTCACAAGAGAAACCGCGTCTACCTACACCGTTACAATGGTCCAAACCATCCTACTTACCGTCGTGTAATATACTGCACAAAACATGGTATATTGTTCAGGTATACTGTAAAAAAGTAAAAAAAAAATGCAAGAACACTGGACATACTTTCTAACATACAACTGATCTAGAGAACGTTACCTTGGAAGGGAAACAAACTCTCAAACTCCTCTTTGAGGAGTCAAAATTCAGTCTCTCAAGAAACTGCTCACATTTGATTCTTCACAAGAGCCTGCCGCTGTCAGCCATTCTCAGCCAGACCCACCGAAATATCCGTATAAGCTCCACTTTCAAGATATTCTTCCACTTACGCGTTGATATTCCATATATAATATCTGCCTTTTACTTTCTCTTACCACAACTATGTGCGCATTTCTCATCTCTTCCCCGCGTTTGTTACCTGTCCGGTCTACTCCATTCCCCTTTATGTTACCACCATAAAGCTTACCCTGCATTTTTCTATAGGCTCCTGCCATTTCTACTTAAAGCAACGAAACCTGTCCCTTTACCAGAAAGCCGGATAAGCAATGGGCGTCATAAAAGCTAAATAATTTATGTACTTTACACGGCTTCGTTTAACAACCAACAAACTAATGATCCGTTGTTGAAGTATTCCATTTTCTCGTGTACAACGTTCCACTAAATTTCGTGCATAACAATTTTATGTAAAGTGCAACAAGCAGATAAGAACCGGAAGACAACAGCCCGTCATGAGGGAGAGTTATAATTCGCTACAGATATGCCATTTCCGAGAGCGGAAGATGTTTCTCAAGATGACATTCTCACTTCAGAGAAACCAAAACAGACATTATAAATAATGCTGATAACAGAATTCTTTGAACGAAAAGAGAAGGTTCGTCAAAATGAAATACGACTGCCATGGGACATGACGCCAACCCCTACGCTGTATGATACGTCGGTTATACACGTCAAGCAGGGTAGCACATTTATTGCAAATAAAAAAAGATTCATCTCAGTCACAATACGTAATGCGTAAAAAGGGCGTTCAGTTTTAATCGAAAGTTCCTCCTTGAAGATAACCTCTCCGTGGCTCTTAGTCCGCAAGCGAACTATACCAACCGAGCAACCGCTGTTTATCGGCGAAGTTAGTGCCAACATTAGCGGATAGAGGGTGTCGCGTGGTCAGCGCAACGGATCCCCACAGCCGTTAATATCGGTTTTCTAGACCGGAGAAGCTATTTCCTTTGAAATATCTCCTCAATTATCCTCACGAGACTGAGTGGACCCCGTTCTAGACACACTTTTGAGAAAATCTGGTAGCGCCGGGAAACGAACCTGGGACCTCTGGATCTGTAGCCAGGATCTCTGAACACTATACCACAGAGGCCGTCCTTCTTTAAAGATAATATTTAAAAAAAATCGAAGGGAACAAAAGTGTTTCTTGATGGCCTGTTGGGGGCATCCCAAGAGTACGTTACTGATACTGTTGTTATAGTGATGATTAACAGAGACATTCTCGTTATTATTATTACTGTCTTATTGTTGTTGTCGCTGTTGTTGAAGTTTACCTTGGTTTTAAATTCCGTTCTTCCATTCTGGAAACTGTATTCTTCGAATTCCTGTTCATATAATAGAGACTTTTCTTTGGCCAATGACGGTTCTTCAAGGAAAAACTGCCCTTGTGTTATATGCGCATCAGGGTCTGATGTCTGAATGGTCGCTGGCGTACTTAAAACAAAAACATATTTCTCTCAACGATATTTTGCAATACTAGCCATAGTATTTTAATGTTTAATAGAAAATTTTGACCAACATAGATGGATATATTTTCTGTTTCCACCTCTTAAGGACAACTCTTAAGTCAATTCTCTTCCATCTTTCTAATCTATCTATGGCTCTACATCCTTCTGTTGGACCTTGGTCGCTTTTTCAGTATCTTTATCTTTTACACTGCCGTCAAGACTCATTGGACGGGGAATCAGCCCGTAGCAAGGCCGCTACCCGCACACAGGACAGCACAAACACAGAATAAACGCACACAGACACCCACGCCTCAAGTGGGATTCGAACCCACAATCCCAGTGCTTGAACGGGAGAAGGCAATTCATGCCTCAGACCACGCGGCCATTGTGCCCAGAACTCACTCTCTACTACTGCAAAAATGGTTAAAGCGAAAGGTGTTTTTGTTTTCCCTCTGACATTTCAAAACAGATGCTAAGAGTTCTTCATTGGGGCAATTAAAATCAACTTCGCCCATGTGCACCAGGATTAAGGCAAAGCCTAAATGTTATGCTTCTTTATCGGTTAATGAGGAAGACTTCGGCTTAATTAATAGCACGAGAGTACCGCCTAACGCTGCTTAATTGCTCCACTTTATCGGAGGCTTAACCTGATCAGATCTGCTCTCCAGAAGGCTCCGTTTCACCTGCCAGCATCCTCCAGGAACACGATGAATAATGTGCATAACAAAGGTGATAATGGAGCTGAAAGAGAGAGCTCCTGGCCCAGGGGCCAACGGATATATATTTTAATGTTTCTGACAGGGACGGCTCACGAAGTTCTCTATCAAAGTACTCGTGGTCTTGGGGCAGCACATTTTGGACTCTCTGTTCTTACGACTTTAAAACTGTATACCTAACTGAAACATGGTTAAATAACTCCTTACTTGATATTAAATTGTTTCCTGAAACATACGTAGTACGTAGCCGACACAAGCCCACATGGAGAAGGCGCACTAATTTCTGAGATATAATTCGGTGTCATACGTAGTTTTGACTTCAAATGTCTTCAAGAATGTGTATGGATCGAAATCCTTATTTCACACTAATTTAACCTGCTTATTGGCAATCACTGTTTCTCTCCCGGTAAAAGGTAAAGTATCCCTGTAACAGGCCTTCAAGGCCCATAGAGTTGTGAGACGTCGAAGCTCCCACATTTGTCTAGATAATAGGCTTAAATATGGCGGTAAGGTTGTCAGCTTTACTCGCCGGCCGCCCTTTACTCCCCAGGAAGATTCATGGTACTCATTTCTGTTAGAGGCTGAGTCGACTCTAGGGCCATAGTGCGGCTGGAAGGATTAAGTAAAAAAAATCTACCTCATCGGGACGCGAACCCGCGTCCTTCGGCTTGTAGCAAAGTGCCTCAACCAACTATGCTACCACGTTGAAAATAGGTTATGTGCCGAAAATTTTCACCTTCAGATGCTTGGGCACTTCAGTGTCCTTGGAACTAACTGAAATTATTCTGTGGCGTCTGTCATTAATATGCCAAACTGAAATGGACGCCATTTTTTTCTTCCACGTGCTTTCTCCACTTTAGCTGAGTACAACTATCCTAGTGATGACAGCAGTTGGCCTGACGTGTACTGTCTAACTTTCAATTACTGACACAGAATTCA